GTGTGTATCTTTAAACCACTTTTAACTATTTGAAGATTAACGAACAAACAAATACAACGAGGAATACATCAACAGATGTCGATCATTCGTTTAAATTTTCACAAAAATAAATTTGTTACTCTCTAACATCATGAACGTATAGCGTTGTTCCTAAAAAAGCAGGAATATTTTATCCCGCACATTGAAGTGATTGAAGCGCGTTAAACAACATTCGATTCGTATGCGGATAGAAATATTTTACGATGTTCAATAGTATTTACAGTGAACATTTTCGGGATCCCACGTAACATTAAAATCGTATTTCACGCGCGACCAGCGGTAAAATTCATGCATGGGGAAGGAGGGACAAGGTAAAAAAAGAAAATCAACAACACAGCGACGCGATCATAAATCCTATGCGCATACGAACATATTGTTCGCGAGCGCGAATTAAACCGCGGCGTTTTGACGCATAAAGTTCTGCTCGTCGATGAGCCATTAATTAGCTTCCGCGGCACGGACGCCGCGACCGGCATCAAACAGGATGAACACGGGATTTCGACGAGCTTTCGTAAACCGGCGTAATACATACGCTATCCCCGATTATGATACGCCCTACTAAGGATTCATAGCGCGATTACGTGGTCGAATTTATCGCATTAATCATGAATTCGCTCGTGCGTTGCATGTAACTACGATCAAAGAGGGACGACAAATTGTTTTGACGTCTATCAATGAAAATCTATGATATGATAAACGAGATAGAAGACTTTTCATATAAAGTTATGCTCTTTGACTTACAACACTTGTTGAGGTAAAGAAGATATTTTGTTCAAAGATGTGGAAGAGATTCTCTTGTTTGTGAAAAATATTTAATATTAACGTTAACGCTCGCTAATTTAAATCGTAAATAAATTTTTCATCCTCTCTAATCCTTTTACAACGATAATTCGTTGAATTGATAATTAACTTAATTAACGACCGAATGACATATTTTATTCCGCATCTGTTGTCTCGAATAAAACTCGTTGAGAAAGACTTCTTGTTTTGTCTAATTACTGTGATATTTTATTATTTAATTATCTCATATTCAAAGCCAATGCTTTGCAAATTTTCTCTTCATAATCTTATAACAGAGCGCCAATTTCAAGGAACTTGGTGACTGAATAAATATAACATCCGTATTTATTAGATAATACGGATGTCACATTTATATGACAGGAACGTCGCATTAAAGGCTTAATTAAATTACATGATTTAATGGAATAACGTAATAAAATGATTTTACACTAACGATATCAAACTTTTAAAGAAGCTTTCGTCTACCAAATATGAGAACTTCTATAAATGGATACGTAATTATCGATATTTAATTTTGAATGTACTGTATTAGAGTATAATTAAATATAGATACATTCTAAATTTGGAGCAGTAAAACTTCACTGTATTGAATTGAGATTTCACTTTGGGCGTTTTAATGGCAATGGAATCAGTGCTGCAGTAAAGTTTTCTACAAGGTAGGAGTAAAAAATTCACTCAATAATTGGATGGAATGTGGTTGGTATTGTTAAAAAAGAATAAATTTCAAAGCTGTAAACTGAATAATATCACTCTAAGGGGAGAGAATGAATAATTTCTATTTAATTATAAAAAATTCATTTTCTTAAAAAAAAAAATAACATATAATTACGTACAAACTTGCACAAGAATAGATCAATTAATAATAAAAAGAGCGAAAATTTCAATATACTTTGCAATTCTTATTTGCCGTTTTGTTATTAATTTGAATGTTTTTCTTTTAAGCCCAGGATTATAATTTTAAATTAAAAAAAATAAAAATTCACTTTTAAAGTTATACCTAACGATTCTGCCACTCACTTTTGTTTGCAATGAAATTTTTAATGCTAAAAATTTAGAGTGCATTAGCGCTGAATCATTAAAATACAAAATGAAAATGTAGAAAAGATTCTCATCTTTGTGAAAAATATTTAATATTAATGTTAACGTTCGCGAGTTTAAATTGCAAATAATTAAATTTGTTTTTTTTTTGTTTTTATGATGGCAGTTCGTCGACCGACAGTTAACTTAATCAAGGACCGAGTGATAAAACGTTTTATTCTACATCCGTGATTCCGAAGCTTCGTTCGTCTTAATCTTAATATATTAAACATCTCTTTACTGATGTGTTACTCTCGTTGGCAGTCAAGGCAATAGTTCGTGTAAGTAGAGCCACGGCTACTTTTATTTCGAGAAGCCAAACTCAAGGTTTCGCGAGACTTGACCTAGTCTGTTGGTCGACACGAAACTTCGTCCATTCACGCGGCATAGACGACGTAAAGTTTTCGCGAGATACACATCTGTGGACGAAAGGACACGTTGAAGTTTTGCAGTCGCCGACCGCATACCTCTAGTCGACTGCGTTATTCAAGACATATTCGCGTACTACACTACGGTAGGAGTGATCCGAGCCGCACATTGGCTGGCACTTGATCGAAATTAACACGCTTCGAAAGTTCGGAGCTAATTAATTTTCAGTTCGCAGCGAACAGTCCTCGTCGTTAAACTGCTATTACCACTCCTTGATCGGGCGACTGCGTGCGTTCGTACGGGACAAATTGAAAAGTTACCGAATGTTTGACATGCAACGGAAAATTCAATGTTTGTCGAAGGTGTACCCTACCGTCGTGTCATGTTGCCGTTGAAGCACAAAATAATTTAACGTAGATTTCGCGAAAATTAGCATCCGCGTACTAATATTAATAGCGAGAGCGTACAATAGAAGGAATTTTCTGCGTTCGGACAAAGCGCATTTGGAACGCAAATACCGCTGTGCATCTGCTCCTCCGCAAAGAAGAGCAAGAGGGGGGTAAAGCATTACGCAGTCGTGTTTCTACCAAGAAAAACAGCCCGGCGATGAACAACATCGATTAAATATTCGCCCGCATGAATTAAAGAGACTGTAAAAATTTGTTTACCTCCGGGAACACCACCTCGCGACGTCGGCCTGCATTCTCAAATAATTTAAATTTCAGATTGCTCAAATGACCAAAATCCCCGGAGGTTCCAGACGCATGGGCGGCTGGTTTCTTTCATTTCTCTCTCTCTCTCTCTCTCTCTCTCTCTCTCTCTCTCTCTCTCTCTCTCT